CTCCTTTGAAAACTTGTAATATACTGGAGACCATGAATTTAGAGAACGCATGGTAATTCATCTCTTCTATAACACTAAATATGTGACATTAATAGCTCCCACAGGATGCTAAAATATAAATTCCTCAGCCCACCCTGGAGAAGAGAAGCTAGCCAGCCAGCTGCCCCCCCTGTCTGTCTCCATATCCAGCCACCAAGCCCCCACATTTTTATTCCAAACCTCAATTCTCAATTATATAGACCATGGGGGATTGAAGACACTCAAGCCTTTGAAAAAGATGAGAGTAGATTAAGTTCCTGCAGGGAAGAGGATGAGAGTCCTATTTGCCAGTCAGTGCAAACTTTGAAGCTGAGGCAGTAAAAGTTAGTGGGGAGTGACAGTGGAGGGAGACTGTCCAGAACACAGACACATTTAGGCTCTGGTAGAGAAAAGACAAGTGTGGCTACCCACTTACTTAGACTAAGCGGATTGTCTGTGTGTCTGTTTATAACATTTCCTTCCATATTGGAAGAAAACTGTATGGCCTTAAGTTTTGCTTGGCCTTGTTTGGCTGTTTGAGTTTGTCTGAAGCTGTCTAAAGGTGGCATGGGGGAAACCCTCTGAACCGAGCAGGTAGTAGAAATTTTAGTGTGAGAATTACAATTGTGGACCTGAAGGCATTTTTAGGAGACCCAGTGCTGAAGGTACTTCTTGCTACGCTGTTAATGACCCTGATTTGCAGTTGCTACCATTACTAGCAAGCCTTGGAAAATGTGTTCCCTGTGGCAAACACAAATCAGCATTTCTCTTGCAAAGAGCAGATGGATGAGCAGTATCCTGGGACTCTAGGCAAAGCCTGAGGCATTACATCTGGGAAATTTCCAGTTATTTTTCTTTTCCCTGCTTCTATAATTTAGGGACGGCTTAAAAGAAGCCAGGCAAATACTGACATAACCTAAGTAACCTTTCTGAAAATCATGTGGTTACACTGCTTTACTAGTAACACTATAAACCAACCTTTTTTTGTTAATAGAAGCAACTGTTGATACTTCTTGTTTCCCTTCAGTGGTGATAAATGCCTTTGTTTCTCAGCATACTAATTCATACTGAACCCTCCAGAGTACTGCAGATAAATCAGCTGAGACTGCAAGAAGAAAGAGGAGCAAGAGCTGCTGCTCTAGAGGCCACTGGATTTAGCATGGTAGTCTCTGTCCTGGTTTACATTGTGTGATCTTTCAACATTCCTATATACAGTGGGAGACACCCTGGACTAGCTGATCATGAAAATAATTGAGGATTTTATCTCACAGTCTACAGCTGCCCATCTTGGATAGAGAGCCACCACTCTCCAAGAGAGCCTTACCTTAGAACAAGATTTTGTTATTAAGCATGTGTTGTTCCTCATCAGCTACCATCTAGGTTTCTTTGGGTTACAACAGCTCTGCCAGGCATGTGCTTTTCCTGGGAACTTTGTGCCAGCAGCCCCACAGAAACAGTCTGCATGAAAAATTCATTTGCATCAAATCTCTGCAGCATCTATTTTATCAAAGCAAGTGCTTGTATGCTCAACCAGCATAAGCCACAGATGGGAGGTTTTCGACAATCAGCTGCAAGATTATGAAGAAAACCAAACACATATCTCCTGCTTATGCATTTCTGAATGAAAAAAAAAAATAAAATCCAGTAGCATAGGAATGGTAAGAAGCAGGTCACCAGTGTCCATCAACTATACTATCAACTTCAGGAACAGAATATGGATATTTACTTGGGATGAAAACACATTGCTATATAGTCTGCTTTGATTAATTCACCACATAAATCCTCTTTTACAGGAATTTTCAAGAGGTATTGAAAGCACTATTAGAAATGTCAAAGCTAGAACTGTCAGGAACTACAGTGTGGGGAACCTCAACTGAACAAGGCAGAGCGTAGCAAGTTAAAAACCCACTGAATCAAAAGGTTTTTATTAATTTAACTTTCTTATAGGAAATCAGAACTCTAGTTTGTTCCTAATTCCTCTCTTGCTGATCAGAAAAGCACCTTCCCTTTAGAACATTATTTTTATTTCATTTCTGGCTATGATTTCTCCAAGCACCTTTGCCAGTTGGATGTCTCAGGTCAGATGGATTTTCAAGAATGACTGGACTGCTGATAAACTCATAGCTTCTTGTAGTGCTAATAGTATCTCAATAATTATATATCACTCACAGATCCAGAAATAAACATGATTTTTTCACAGAGGTGATAGCATACAAAAGATCCAAATCAATTTGCAGTCCTCTGGATTATGAAAGGATATCCCACAGACTGAAGAAGCAGCAACAATGTTTTGGAGTTCCTAAGAAACCTACAAAGACTGTGGAAACACCAGGAATAGCCATTAGACCCTTGCAAGGAAAATTAATTTTATGTGTTGTTGCTACTAATAGACCAAAATAAAAATGAATAAAATTAGAAATAAAGTTTTGATAAGATGCTCTCAGTTTTTATTTCAAATTCCTTCCAGTTCCTAAACACAGTTTTTGTAAAGCTAATCTGTATTTTAGCAGCTACACAGTGTTTTCATTAAACAATTTCCTGTCTTAAAAAATATTTATTTCATGTGCAAAATAAAACAAACATATCATAAAGCTGGAAAGGTCTCAATTTTTTGTTTATATATGAAAATATAACTCTTTTATGTGGTTGTTTTATTACAATACCCCATGGAAGCCATACACTGGTTGCTGAATGCTCTCATTCTCCCCCACACATTGTGCTCCCTAGCTGCATTTTCTCTTCCATCATTAAAGATCTTCTCTCACAAGGGATGAGACTGTCACAGTCCCATTATGAGGAAAGGAAAATATGAGCCAACAGGGAAATATTTTTGAATCCAAAATATAACTGATTTGAATTAAATGTTCCATATTCAAGTGTTTTGACAAAACCTTTTTTTCAAGACAACATAAACAAACTAAAGCCTCCATAGAACCACACTCTAAAATTTTGTCAATAATGTATCTGGCAATGTATCAACAGTGTAAAGTATCTATAAACAAGGTGAAGTTTTGTCTGCCAGTATCTAAAGGTGGCTTGCCAAGAGGATGGAGCCAGGCTCTTCTTGGTGGTGCCAAGCAATAGGAAAAGAGGCAACAGCCAAAAAGCGATGCACAGAAAGTTCCACCTGAGCACAAGGAAGAACTCACTGCCTGCATGCACTGGAACAGGTTGCCCAGAAAGGTTGTGGAGTCTCCTCCACTGGAGATATTCCAGAACCACCTGGACACGATCCTGTTCCATGTGATCTGGGATGGCCCTGCTCGACCCCACTTTGATCCTTTCCAACCTGACCCATCCTGTGATTCTGTGAATGGCAAACAATGAAACGCCACCGTGTTTGCCCATATACATGTCATAAGCAAGCCAGAAATCCCCAAATTCAGTCATAATAGACCCAGATATTCCTGCAATATCAATGTTACTACTGAAATTCTTACTGTTATAACCTAAATCATAGAAGTCATATTTAATTTATTCAGGAAGAATTTGTTCTTCCCATAGGAACATCTGTGAGAGGGGCTGATGGAAAGAGACAAGTATCCCATTCCTTATTCTGTTTTCTTCTACTAAACCAAATGTATTTACCTAAGGTAGGTAAATATCAGCATAGTAAAATCAGAGAGCCACTGCAGCCAGGGAATGCTAAACTCTTTGCCTTCCCCAGAAGAGAGCAAACAGGATCTGTGAGAAACAGCAAATGAATGACTCAGATTCTCCAGCATAAAGCAAATATGCCCCCTAAGTGTGTCCCACAAGTCTTTTGGGCACTAAAAGCTTTCTTCACCACAGCATTCCAATTGAGAAAAGGTGCAATACTGCAAAGAGGTAGAAGAATGGTAAATTTTGAAGGAATAATGTCATAATAACCCTACTAAAATTCCTTTCCTCTGTTAGTGCTACAACCACGTGTTCTTAAAAAGAGGCATTTTTTATTCTCTTATGGTTTTTTAACATACATACTGCTTGTTTCTCTCTTCCCACACAGTTTGGCAGGTAGTTTCTTTTCCTCATTTTGTTTCTCTTTCATCTGTCGGCTTTCAGGAACAAGAACTGTGTTTGTGTTTTGAATTTATAGCACAGTAAGAACGTATTGAATTTAAAGCCATAATCTAAGGTAAAGACATTAAATCACCACAAAAAATAAAAGGCTGATATAAATTGTCCTAGACTACATAGCTGTAAATGCAAGAAATATGAGTCAAGATTAAGTTGTAGTGGCATTTTGGCTGTCTCAATATAGACTAAAGAGAGATGGAACACCTGCTCTGATCTTCACAAATTGAATTGCAGCTCCTCTGAAGATTTTGAGCTCACATCTGCATTAGCAAAGGACATCATAGTTAATGTAAACTGGACATTTATTCACATAGCAGAGTAGAAAATGTGCAATATGCCTGCACACAATTAGTGCAAGCAGCTGTGCTACCAACAAGAAAATACAAAAGATACCCTAATTACAAGAAACTACTACTAAGTAACTTCCACATCAATGTTATATTTCTCATGGTTTGCATGCATTCAATGACATTACTTCAACACTTTTTTTCAGAAATTACCAATAATCCAGTAAGGGGGAAATATTAATTTTTCAAGTACAGAACAGTAGTGAGATGACAGTCATATCTCTCACACTGAGACCGTGGGAAAAGCAGAGATTGTTTGACCCTGTATTTCTGAAAGTAGCTCTGAGAGCCCTTGCACTCCAGCAGACCTGAACTGAAATCTTTCCACCGTCACAGATTGCTCACTATTCCCTGGCTACAGCAAATCCTTGTCCAACATCTGTACATGTACATATATGTGGTTGTGAACAGGTAGATAAGCCAATGTGAAATATATTAAAATTCCTGCAAAGCAATTCATCCAAAAGTAACAAATGCATACAGACTTCAAACACATCATGCAGGTTAGAATTGGCAGGGAGGCTCCGATGAGTGAGTGAAACAGTGAAAAAAATCTTTTCCAGAACAAAAACTTACCTTAAGATAACTTCAGAAGTATCTTTCATATCATCTTGAGATGAGACACGTTTCTTTACTCTCAATTTATTTCCCTGTGGTGGGTCCATTCTGAAGCTCAAGCAAAATAGCAGCCCCACCGAGAGAAAAGGAAAAAGAAAGGAAAAGTAAGTGTCTTATTCAAGGAACAGAGATACTTTAACAATGACCAGAGCATCTCTGAATGAATGTTGAAGGCGCTTTTTTGATCCAAGTTATTTAATCTTATTTAAGAAAGATTGATACAGCTATCAAAGTTATCATATATAATAACTGCCATTTTCATGGAAATAAAGAGTGTTCATCAAGTCATTTGACTCTGCCAGTCCTTCTTTACTCACAGTTAAAATGAGTAAGAACATGGTTTAACAAAGAAGAGAAGCCTCTCCCCACCTGCACCAGACTATTCTTCTCAAGCACCCCGACAGGTCTACACACACTTTTGTCTTTACACTTCAGCAATAACACAGCTGTTCCCTAAATGTGTTCAACAACTGTTCTCTAATGCCATCAGTTTCATAGTGTCAATGGATCCTAAAATAGCTGGAACATTATGTCCTTTACCATTCTATCTTCCCGCCTGGCTGCCGGATTGTTCTATTTCCCTTTTTTTTGATGGATTAAGTAGAATCACAGCTATTTGTTGATTTGAAAACTAAGCAACTGCTTTAAACTGTCTCTGTGCTCATGCACTGCTATCTCTGACTCTACCTGAATTCATTTTGGAGCCTGCACTACAAAAGCTTTATTCATGAGGGATTTGCATATGCAAGCAGTGTTGATGAATCCAATAAAATAGACTGATTTCACATCCAGAGACAACTTTGCAGATTTACTTTTGGTTTCAGCCGCTGACACTGACCCTCTTCACTTTTCTTCTTGCCTGTCTTTTTAGGGGCATGGACTGATTCTGCAAACATTTTATTTGTAAGGGATGTCCTTTCACACGTGGCCCTCTCGGTGGACTGTGCAGGAATGCCAGTAATTGCTCTAGCTTTGCACTCTTCCAAGCTCTGTCAGCAGCAATGGGGCTCTACTCAAGCTCCAGTGTGATTTCTCTTGAAATCAGCAAAGAAAATGGACCCTATTCCATTGCCAGAAACCAGGACAAAATTATTTAACAAGAGATTTGACACTAGAAAATCATTCTTCTCTGTGACTTACAAGCTCCCTTCTGCTCCATTGAGAGGTGTGTGGGACAACAGGCCAGCTGTTAAGATTTGTCTATGACAGTTTTCCAGTCAGGGGGCATAACTACAGTCGTGTTGCACTCTCTCGCACAGAAAGTTGAAGAAAACACAGGTTGGTTACCCCAGAACTGAAAATGAAATAAATATTGCACTGGGTACAGAAGGGAACATCAGCAAGGTCAGCTCACTCTGCCTCTTCCCCTCATTCACCAATAGATGGTGGCAAAGGCCCCCTCCGAAGCTGCCACTGGACTTGCACAGTTGCTTTTTCAGTTCTTCTCATAACATAGAAAATGGGGAAGGCAGACAACTCCTTTGCAACAATCACCTATAAAGAAGTTAACAATTCTGCCTAACATACCTGTAATAATTACTCTGTTAATGCCAGCTTTCTTTATCTTCAGATAGGAACATATTTGTTTCTTCTTTTGTAAAGTAACAGCAGGGTTTCACTTTAATTTCATGCAACAGAGCATTGAGAGGAACATCAAAACAAGCTCTTCTAAAACAGGTTAAGAAATGGTGCTTGCTCCTAGGAACTCAGCACATATCTGCCTGAAAGGGAGGAGGGACTAGAGAAGAAAGAAAATTATTTCAAACTCTTGTTGCAGAATGCAGCATTTTGAAGAGCAGGGTGCTCTTTTCTAAACTGCCAACAGTCAAGGCAACTTCACATCACTTCAAGAGACTCCACAGAGCTGCCTGACACTTTTGGCCACCCGTGTCAGGCTCCACAGAGCTCTGATGGCTCAGGGGAGCCAAGTATCAGAGCCTTGCAAAGCAGTACTTGGTGGTAAAAGTAGCAAACACTATTTTATTTTGATTGCAAGGCTTTTTAATTACCATGCTTATGCTTCAGGCATTTGTGCAAGAAACCTTTCTCCACCTGACCCAGGAAGAGAGCAGGACAGGCAGAGCACTAAGGGTGGCTGCAGAGCACACATGTTACAGAGAGCAGGAGCTCTTGATGCCTGTAAAGCACCTGTCATGATACAACCTGAAGTAAACCAGGTGTGCTGGCCCAGTTATGTATCACACAATAATATCCTGCCTATCCCAGCATGACACTGTTTGCACTTCATGATGATATTCACCACCTCATCTCATGATCCTGTGTGAGCTTGCCAGCAAATGACTGTCACATTCCACATCAGCTCTTGAGAGATGGCCAAGGTTTTTTAATCTTTAATGTGAGAACAAAGACCTTTGAGTTCCTTGGGTTCAAATGAGTTTAAAAATTTTAAAAAAGTGATTTTAGTCTATTTGCTGTCAGGTTCACCTCTGAACACCCTGTGCTAGTTTCTTTTATCACATACCTTTGTAGAGCACTTCACAAAGATTTTTCTGTATTTATATAATTCACACAGATTCTTTTTAGTTTTTTGCTTATTTGCAGTAACTCATCTCCAAGCTGGAGATCTCTGATCAGCTTATTTGTTTAAATACCAGTCTGTAAGTATAAATAACCCCTTGTGCATCAAGTTTTCCATCTTGAAAATAACAGCAAAAAAGATATTCACATATCATTTTCCTCCTTGCAAGCACAGTGTAACTTTCCCAATATTTTGCCCAGTTAATAATATTTTGATTTTTGTATGGAGGCTCTAAACCAGTTTTTCTAAATTATAAAACTTTCCCTTCTGAGTTTGAAATATAGGTATACAGAGAATCCAAAAAGACATTCCTAGTGACCCATGAGGCTCTACTTCTTACCAAGAGATAAAAAAAGCAGATAAACCAGATATCTTTTGTATTGGATTAGAAAAGCTTCAGACATCCCTTAGAATCTAAGTTATTCTCCAAATCTATGACTCTGTAATTCATTCATTTATTAGTTTACACCTCTGGATTATTTATGAGAGAAGGATTATATTCCTAAGAAAGAGTAAATTCAAAACCGAACAGGTGGATAAGTAGTTCAATTGCTGTTCTTATCAGTCCTGAGCTGATATAAACATACCAACTTGTAAAATACTCAGGTTCCCAAAAGGCAGTACTGTGCAGGTACTAATATTTTGCCAGGAGATCATCACAGATAGCACACAAATCTCCCAACACTGAAAGCCTGGACAGATCCTTTTTCACCTCAGTAAGCTACTCCTGTCTTACTGAGTCTTCAGGGTGAGTTTTTCATTGTCTACATGAGATAAGGTGGCATCTCTACTAACTTAGAAAGTGGATGCTTAGCTGTAGGATACATTGCAGTGGCTTCATTCCTGCCCTCCAGAACCAGCTTATGCTCTTTGATATCATCATGCCTTTATCTGAGACAAGAGGATGCCAAGAATTGGAAGCAGGATTTTTCTATTGCTGTTAATATTGTCACTAGTGCTAGTAGCAGAAGTAGCACAGCAGGTTGGAGGGAATCCAGTTATGTTCCCAGCCACCATCTTATTTATTCTTCATAAGCTATTATTACAGATTTTTGAACAGATTTCTGATGATAAAATGTATTGCTGAGGGTTTCAATACATATCAAAATGGACAACAGTAGCAAAGAAAACTAACAATGGCCCGACCACTAGGGAAAAAAATCAAGTAAGGGTTCAAACAGTTGAGAAAAAAAAAAAGACAGATTAGGGGCAGTGCACTGAATGCTGGTCACACTTTTTGCCACTGTAATTAAAAGAGATTCCTTGGGAAGTGTGGATTAGGGCAGTTTTGGGGACAAATAACAACAGCCTGAGGGCAAGAAGTGAAAACACACCTTCAGAAGTCCCATGGTTTCCAAAGCCACCAACTGTAATCCAGTAAGATGATTTGCAACAAAGACATCCTTTACACATGGCTTTCCCACCAGCAATGTTTTCTGGGTCCAGACTACTGCTTCAATCTAAAAAACTTCAACATCTGCCAGCTGGCTTGAGAGTAGTGGTGGGAGCACCCGGGCTTCAGTTCGTGTAGGTAGGAAGAAGGGATGCATTTTTTTTTTTTTTTAAGTCAGGGCACACAACATTATTCTCACAGCATTCAGCCTGAAGAGAAATACTGGTAACTTCAGTACAGTGAGTATAATTATTTGTAAAAGCTCAGCATTCGAACCAATGCCTATTTAAGTCAATGGGCGTTTTTCGTTGACTTGGGATGATAGATAAAATGGGCAATTAGTGCACTTTTTAAAAGCTCTGCTGAGCAAATACATCACTAGGTGTTTCAGGACTTTTTTATGCCTTGCTTTTTTTATGTCTTTAATGCCTTGCCTTCTCTCTCAAATAATGCATTTATTTCTAGTCTTGTCCTTTACTGCAGCTTGTATTGTCACACTTTCACCTGCACACAGGAGGAGAAGAATTCTCAGCCTCTTTTCGTCCTAGTCATAGCAGAGAATCTGCTCCATTAGTGGCCTCATACCACTGCAGCTCTGAATGGTAAGAAGCTTTATCAGAGTATACAAAGGTAGTTTAGAGAATATCCTCATACTGTATAATTTATGAGCTTTAAAATATTCCACTTTTTTTTCTTTAAAATTCTGATTAAACTGTTTTGCTACAGAATTTCAGTTACTCTCACTTTGAAGAACAGCAGGGTGAAACCAGTGGGCAATAACTCTGGATTCATCAAATGAAAAGTATTTGGAACTTTTCTACTCATGATGGACACTTCCCAGAGGAGGAAGAAGAGAAAAAGAAACAACTTTAGGAGAGTCATCTGCATTATGCCAAATTGCCATTCCATTCAGCCTTCTAAAAAGGTCTTGTTATCTGATAGGTAATTACTAGATAATATCTAATCTGATATTATGATTTAATGGCTACAATTAGGTAAAAGTAGATACCATGGAGAAAACACAGAGCACACAGCAGCAATAAAATTTAGTAGCAATAAAATACAGCTGTGGGTTGTCATTTGCTGCCCACATACTGCCAATTTGTTGGTAACTCCATATGTGTTGAGCACCCCAGATTCAATTCACAGAGAAACAGAGCCAAAAAAAGCCACTGTCTCTAACTGTCTGGACCAGGAATGCCTCCCACCTGCAATGGCAATGACTTGTTTGCTTTTCAATTTTAAAATTTTCTGTTTACCTGAGATGCAAAACCATTGTCTATAGGAGGGAGCAGAGCATGAACAGACAGGTCAATGAGAAATGCAGTTTACCCACCTGTCACTACTGGGCTAGACTAACAAATACAGATTGCTGAAACCTGTTGATTTACTTGCCATTGCACCACTGGAATAGAAATGCTCCAAACTAAGCAGTCCTTCTGCAGCATCATTCCCCATAACAGCTGGAATTCCTGCAAAGAAAACATTATTATTTCTTAGTACACAGAAGAGGAAGGTCAGCATTTCCAGAAGCATCTTGGTTAGTTAAAAGCCTGCGTGCTGGTGAATACCATTTTTACTTGAAACACAATATGCAGCGCTTAAAAGGAAAACCTTTGAACTCAAGAATAATTTGATTTTCAGAAACATTGACTGAAATGTTACTGAAAACAAAATGTTGGAAATGAGAAATTTTGAGCTAACACTGCCTTTTGGCTCCCCTGTGTTTCACGAGGCAGCAGTGAGTCACAGCACAAAGACCTTAGTGACAAAGCAGCACTTGTTGACACAGCAGTATCACAATTCAAAAATGTGCAGCACCACATAATTAGAAAATTAATAGCTGCTGGTACTGCCATGGTGTCTCTATTCAGTGCTAACTGTGTTTCTGCCCCTGTTTTCTACCCATGTAAGCCTGGGGTAGTAGTGGCAGATCAGCAAACAGCTGGAGAAACTGGGGTGGCTCTGCCTCCCAGTTAACTGGATGCTCTCCTTTCCTCACTCAGGATGAACATCAGTGCTGCCACCCTTGTGAGCCTGGGAGGACCCACAGGTCTGGGGAAGAGAGGAAAGAGGAGAGGAGGGGGGGATCTAACACTTGTGAACCCTGTCCTGCAGCCTTCTGGCAGCCTGTGAATCTCTCTTATGACAAGTCCCATCTCACCAGCTTTTCCCCCCAGGCATACTAATTCCTAGACTGAAATCAACTGCATTGCAACAATTTGTGGCTGCATATTCCTTCTACTACCAGTATTATTACAGATTCACTAGGTAGGTGCTGCCCCTCCCTAAGCCACCTAAGCCACCTACTTCCTACACCAGTAGCAAACAAGCAAAAATGGAGAATGCAGGACTCCAGGAAGGGTGACAGCAGGTGGGACACACGCAGTGCAAAACACCATTTTTGTTATTAGTGGAATAGAATACTAATTCATCTTGAATTAATAATGAGGCTTTCTATTTGCCTGAATCACAGCCTTTTGCTGATACCCTTTCTACTCACCATGTCAGAGTTTCTGATTTTCCATCTGGGAATTTAATAAACAACATAATTTGCTTCATAAATCTTTGTTAAGACTTTTTGAATGCTGGCTATATCCCCACACACAGGCACATAAATGCACTCCTATTTCTACAGTAGAGCACTGCATCTCACAGCAGGAGAATGAAGGAGGAGAAAACCAGCTGTAGCACACTCCTCAGAAAATGAATGTTACTAAAGCTGATATATATTCAGCTTTCCCATGAATTTTGTGGTTTCTCAGAATGAAGCCAGCTCTACCTTCCTTGTCAAGGAGCAAAAATAATATTTTTACAGGAAATTAAATATTTGAACTGTTCTGAGACCTCCCACTTTCAAAAATCCTTTGCTTGAAGTAGAAAGATAGGTGAGCGTGGGAGGGCTTGTAACAGCAACAGGAGGAAATCAAGGCATTACCCATTCTTATTTAAAAACTGTTGCAAGTTATTCCAGAACAGCCTGTGTTTGCTCCCTCCCTCAAGCCCCCTCCCCAGCTCCCATGCCATCATTACTGAAATCAATCACAACACACTCTTATCACAAAAGCTAAAACTCTGACCTTCATACTCTCCCCCACCAAGGACAAGCAGCTCTCAAGGCAAAACTGTCAGTGTACCCTTATAAGAGTCTATAAACAAACTAAGGATTACAAGCTCCTAATGAGGTCTTTGAGGCTTTGCAGACCAGACTTCTCAAATTGCTGTTCTCTGAACAAAGGGATCTTGCTAATCATTGGATTTGTGCTTTCCAATTTTCAGAAATTCACGAGTGTTGTTCAAATTATATTATCTGCTTTCAGGTTTCTTTCTTAAAGAGCTGAACAGAACTATCTGTCCCTTCTCTTGGCCCTGCTTCAGGAAAGTGTTTGGTCACATAGTAAGTCAGCTCTTATTCATAAATTCATAGGCACGAGTTTGAAAATATTGCATGCAAATCCCAATGGAATTTCAGTATACATTGCCTGAAAAGTAAATTTCCTCAACCAAGCTTTGAAAATGGATTCAGCAACTAAAAATAATTTTCTAGAATATGGAGAATTCTGCCTGCTGGACAAGCATCTAAGAAGGTGTTATTTTGACGGTTTTGTTCTTTCCCTGTGTTGAGTTTCCTTTCCTAAGTTTAGATATGCTGAGGTAGCAGGTCCCTATAATGCTGTCTAGAGAGTTGCAGAAATCTCTTACTCTTGCTGTGCTTTGACCTCATCTGATTTCATTTACATATTCTGCAGATTTTCAGCTTGGCCTGTCAAATTTGCTTGATATATGCCTAACACTCTCCCTGGGTTCTGTTCCATGGGTTTTATCACCTCTGTTTACTTCAGTGCACTATTTCTCAATAACAGTTTTTTTCTTACACAGAAAAAGAGCTCTTTCCTTGCCCTTCCTCTTCAGCCCAGCTGTCCTCCATAGATGTGGCTGCTCCCAATTACACGGGAATTCGCCTTTGAGTAGACGAGGCTTTTTTACATCAACAAACACCACCAAGTGTGAATCAAACCCAAAGGGTGTTTGACTGAGAATTTAGAAAGTTAAACTGCTGAAATATGTAGTTTATAATTAAAGTACTGAGAAAGCCTTTACTGAAGAATCACTAGAGCAACACTGTAATTACGCTGTCCTTCACATCCTGCCATTAGCATTTCTAGAAGTGACATAATAATAATGTGGTCTTTTTCTCTTTAGGAACTGTCAGCTCTCTTTACAGGATTCAAGTAAGTTTATAAAGACTATAAAGTTCTTAAATAGAAAATGCAAATGATGATTTTTGTGTAGAGGACATGACAATCACATTAGGATGCTCATGAATATCATGCCCATATATGTTTCAAGTCTGTAGAGTATAATTCCTTTTTCCTTCTCCATTTTTTCCCTATCTATTCACAGTTCAAGAAAATAAAATTTAAAAAAACTAAGAATCTTTTTTGAGCTGTCCTGTTAGCTGTTCAAACCTTATAGTTTTGTAGGAACACAGGCTGCCTGTACTTCCAGGAGCACAGAGAGAGAGCCCATTTCAATCAATTAGAATCACTGAATTATCAAGCTCAGAAAAGTCCATCTCAGATCATCTAATCCAAGCATGAGAAAGGGAGATCCTGATCCCAGATACCAAAAAGACTCTGTGGCAGGTAACAACCTGCTGAAAATAATAGAAACATTTTGGGGCATGTCCCAAGGACATCCTTTAGGCTGCAGCTGCCAGCAGACCACGTTTCTTCTCTCTCATAGCACAGAAAACGCTGCAGCAGCAGCTGCAGCTGGTGAGTGCCGGGGAGCCTAATTGGACACGTGTCCTCTGACCACTCCATCCCTCAGGAGATGCCATTTGATTGGCATTCCTACACTCTCAGAAGAGGTAAAAGGCAGTATATGGGCCTGTGTTACTGCTTTGGGGACTGCAGCGACCCCGCTGATTCTGAAAGAGAGCTGATACACATTCAAAGCACAAGCTCTCAGGAGTTGTGGCTCACATGAGGCCTTGGCAGCCAGTTCTGTTCTGTTGATTCCCAGTCAGTTCTAAGAATTGATACAAGAGAAACGTGTTTATGAAAAGTGCATCTTTTGTCAAGCAAGCAGCACAAGCATAATGGAGTTGAAATTAGATACTTGAATATTTTAAATCTTTTCTGGAGTGTGGAAAAGAAATAACTGCTAAAACAGATCTAAATGCATTCTCTAGTAGATTTTAATAACTGACTGCTTGAGAATAAATTATATTCAAAAATAAACTATGTCGTCTTGACTAAATTGCGTGAAATTATATGGTTAGGATATTTCAAGATCATCAGATGTTACATTGAGGGCAAATATATCTCATTATAACAGTTCTGGGGGAAGGCAAGTGTTTTATGTCTGACACAGACAGACAGCATTTACCTGTTATATATGTACATATAACATTGACTTACTAGGATAAGCAAGATTGAGTAAAGTAAAATAAGTGGGAAAATGTGAATTAGATGTGAACCAAATTTCCATTTACCAAGTTAGTGTAGCACCAAGCTCATACCATAAACTTTATGAAAGTCAGCGTAGACTTGTTTGAGTCTAGTACTACCTAAGCCTAGCTATATTTCCTTCATAAATCAGTTCTCACCAGCTGAGAGCAGCAAAAGAAATAAGTCACAGCTGAAAAAACATGCCAGGAAAAATGCTGCTGACAAAACCTTGTCGTTTTTCCTCTGTTTAGAAGCCTGGTCCAGAACCTGTATAATCAAAGTGGCCAGGGGCTCTCACTCGCTTCCAGCCAAAGCTCCTTCTACCACAACAGAGGTAAAAGATGTTCTTCTGTGTAAGACTCTTTCAGGCTGTATAGAGTGGAAGAGATAATTTGTCTAAATTTGTCTTTAAATCTTTATACCACAATTAAATTAATTTTCAGGTCAAAAATCTCCATTTTCTGTATATAACCAGAATTTCTCTTTTATCACATACATGACAAAGGCTTTAAATTCAAGATAGTTGGCTTTTGAGACCAGGGAATTAGATCAAACCAGGAGAACTCAGTTCTCCATCCAGTCATTCTGGCTAAGGGCTAGTCTACATCAGCTGGGAGGGGAAAGAGTGAATATGTGGGTTGTTCTAGTGCTTACAGTTCTAAATCCCTGCAGCTTCATGATGGAGTTCTCCCAAATGAACTAGCAAGTTTCTGCCAACTGGAGAAACCCTTCCAAAAGGGCATCATGATGAGTTGAAGCAGGGGAAGGAAGAGTTCACATAGCTGTATCTGTATATATCAGATGTCATTTTTTAGATTTCATCAGTCTTCCCACTGCTGTGCTGACCTTTGGTGTGTCACACCATGTCAAGTTTGTCAGATTACCTACTGGCCCTGTAGAGCACCAGAGTCAAGCAGACCAGCTGCTCACTCACTCTTTTTAAAAGCTGGTATGCAAGTCCATGCACTCCACTGGTGTTCACACACTCCTAAAAGCTGATTATCCTACTCAACATCGCAGCAATCATGCACTGTGCAACTGTCTAGAATGACACAGGGACCCCAGACTTCTCAGGCAGAATTTCTCAAGCATTATTTTCCTGAGAGAATAAATAAATTGCCTTTAAAAGCTGTCACTGCAGCACAAAATGCTGTTAAATACATGTAAATAAAGGTAGGACAGGGTATTTGCCTAGGACACATCTTAGGTAATGTCAAGAAGTGCTACTTTTAAAACAGCAGACGAGAGAAGGAGGTCTTCTGATAATTGTGCAGGTCCTCATCTTACCCCAGGTTGGGCATTATGGAAAACGCTGAAAACCAGCATCGGAATTCTGACGAGTTAGAGATGAAAGCTAGAATAATTTGCTATGAAGGAGCCAAAACAACACAGAGAGAGGGAGAGAGTTCCAAACTCAACAGGATTGTGGAGGGGACCTGACAGTAGATGCTGCATTAAAGTGCTTGAAAGGTTGATCTAAACAAAGACAGACCCTCTGTGCCTGAGAGAGGCTGAGTTTCAGGCAGGTGTTAGTGAAAATCCTTTCTGAACCTATTTGGCTCTATCCTCATATTCTCACATGTGTGCTGGAAAATTCGCATCAGCAGCAATTATTTTCCTTCTGTTTTCAGATCCTCCAGCCCTCGGCAGCATTAGCACTTACCTCTCAGCTGTCTCCTTTCACTTGGCTGGCAGCCAGGGCACACTCCTTCTGCACTCCAAGTGCCCCGTGTAAGGCTTCCTATGACAAAGCAAGAGAGGATAAGTTGGAAAGCCCAGGATCAGTCATGGATTAATGAGCCTTTGGCAGACCTTTGTACCTTCTGTTTCAAGCACGAGGCAAAATCCTTTGATCTTCCCTTATCTGCATATTTGCGTAGCAGCATGTAGACTGAAAAAGAAAACAAATAAATAAAATCCCTCAGGTCCATCAAAATAAGAGACTTAATTGTAGAAGATTTGCCTCCTAGAAGAAGAACCTGACAATAAGTATGTGAGAGACAAGTAAGATATATGGCTTAATGCACTAATAGAAGGCTGTCATGTGCCACAGGGATGGGCACAGCCTAACAGCTTGGGAAAATGGAATCATCCTTAGTAGCAAAACTTTCAACACATACTACAGTCTGTATGTACATTATATATTTATAGATAGATAAAAATATGTTTGTTTCCTCCTTCTTCTTCATTAAAGGTATGATTTTACAAAATTGCCTGAGTGACTTTCCCACTTGAATGTAATTGAATTGCATAATTACTGAAGCTGACAGCATGAGGCCAAATGCTGCTTTTGAAATCATTGACTGCTCTGGGAATTTTGTGTGTTCAGAAGACCACAGACTTTTCCAGAGGCTGAATCTGCAATGTCTGCATAAATGTAACAGCCTGGGCTGGCCTTTTGGAGCCAGCCATCATTATTACACCTTCCCAGGGACTGTTGACAAAGCCTTCAACATATACAGCACTTTAAAAAAAACCACATCCTTTACGGAAATGCTCTATTCTCCAGGTATCTGTTCTGTGCTTTCACCCATCACTTCTCCGTGGTTGTCATGAACAGGGCAGGTGATCCACTGAGAAATAGCAGAATTTCTGATTCCTCTGCCTCTCCTGCAACAGTGCCATTTTCAAATCACAACCAAACACATTAGAGAAACACTGCCATGCTCTGTGGCTGTGCTAGTTCTAAGAAAGACCACAGAACATTCCCCTCTGACCATGCAGCCATGTGGCTTTAACAGGTATCAGTCCAGAAGGCCTTTTTACGGGGAAAAAAATGGATGCCTTGTAGACTTCCCTCAGGATTAATTTTTCCTGAGGTGGGAAAACTGGTTGGAAAAACATCAGCTTTCATTAGGAAAGGACAGTAACATGGTCATGATAACAAAATCCAACAGAAAGAAAGAAACAAGCAGATTGTGTCTTGCTTGTGGAGGGTCCCCTGCACCTACTTGTTTATGCATTCCCTAACGTGCTTTGGCCACAATACCCACCTGAACATACACAGTTTACATTGCAAATGTAGCTGGACAGGATTCATTTCGATAGAAGAGGGTTAGGCATTGCTGGCAGCCCTGAATGAGTGATACCATCTCACACCACAAAGGATGGTGATAAGCAGTTGTGGCATGAGCTTCTATTGGTATCTGCTTCCTACTGCAAGCAGAACGCAGCTCCTCTCTCTATGTTTAAGAGTTTTACCTGTTTAAAACTGGCAAAACAGTAGTAATTATTTATTTTTATTTAATGAAATAGAGCACAAAACTGATGCCAGCACTCCAATGAGCCAGCAAGTAAGAGAACGAAGTGCAGAGACCCTTGGGTTACACTATATTCTTATATGCCACAAAGATGGGGGGAAGGGATTCAAGCTGCTGAAGCATCTGGTAATAGCATTTGTGGAGTATGAATGGGGAACCAAATCCCAGCCTGTTTTACTCGTGTGAGTAGTTTTGTGCAGATCTGTTCTTAAAATAATCATCAATTCCCGCTCAGTGCTTCCCCCCATAAATTAGTTCCTATGATGTATAACAGCCACTAAAAGAAGAATTGAACAGGGGAAATTAACTTGCTTTTCAGTAGCAGAAATTTATCAAGGCCACACTTTTTACTGGGACAAAAACAATTCATTTAAGCCTTGTCAAGATTTCTAATTAAAAATCCTCTGCTCCCAACTGCAACTCACAAATACTGTGCTTAATTTGGAAGTTAATAATATTTCCATGCATTTCTGCTACACTCTGCTATTGCAGCTATGACTCTAGTCTGATAACAAGAGCATTGTACCCAAGCCAGCAGCAAATGACTTTCTTCATTTCTGTGTAAAAAAGAACCTTACTTTGTAAAAGGGGGATGGGGAGATTTGAAGCTGTATTTATTGTCTGGGTTTCAGCTCTACTGTATGAGATAAGAAAGATTTGTCTCATTATGGGTAGGTTAATGCATCAGATATTGCAGATATGAAAAGATATGACTATTTATTGGGACTCAAGCATCTTACCTGCTGCCTGGCAGGTCTGCTACCCTGAAGTGTTTGTGTGAACAGCTTGGGCCACAGATCACAGCAACGGAAGACCAACTGGCCCATAAGTAGAGCTCAGCTCTGCTTTTCATTAGCTGTGAGTTGGAAGAGGTCTCCTCCTTCAAAGGCTTAGATAGTGTACGCCTTCATCATGTTCAAGGACCAATTTTCTGTTCAAGCAAAGTATGAGTAAGATTATTCTGTTCTGTGATGAATGACTACAATTTCATAGGTGAATTCAGGGCTATGAACCCTTTGACTGGGTTTTCAATAAAAACCACACTATGAACATGAAAGAAATAAAACTTTCAATCTTCACCACCATGTATCAGCTCATCTTAACTTCCTCGAATTCTAGTGGACTATTACACTGAAGAACTCAATCTGTGACAAATCTCCAATAAAGTCAAAACTCAACACCTTTCTTTCATGTCTTAGAAGTGTTTCACTTTAAAGCAATTCATATTGTGTTCATCATACACCAGTAACATCATGTGTCTACACCATCTCCTCTTTGCCTACCAGTTTTATCCTTGCTTATAATGTGAGACAGGAACATATACAAGAACATTTGCTGACCATACAATGAGAGCCACAAGCATTTATTTTCCTGTACATTAGACATTTCCAGACATCCTTATGTCTGCAGCCAGTATATTGCCAGAGGTCTTGGGAGATATTGCTTTAAAATAGACAGTTTTAAGGAGAGATATGAGAGAAAAACAGGAGGCATTTTCTGACATCTACAGGAAAGGGCTTTCTAATTATCAGAATCAAAAACAACAGGAGCCATGATCTTAAAAAAAAAATGAGACTAGATGTAGGGTAGGATGGGATTCCTGCATGACTACAAGGCCATCATTAAGTTTGACCCAAACCATACCTTCCAATATAAAAACAAGACTTCAATTTCCCAATGTTCAAAAAAAGAAGCATGAAAAAAGCCTCTTAAAAGGAGGACCAAACTTTCTGTTCTTAGTTTTGTATAAGTTGGCTATAAATATATCCAACAGTCAAAAAGCAACTGAAGAAATGGCAGCTTAAACATTAAGGAGGAAAAGCCTCAGTACAATGATTTTGTCCCTTTTTTTAAGCCAAGTTTAAATATTATTATCTGTCCTTGATGTTTCAGAGAAATTTTGTTGTTTATCTTTCAGTTTAACAACCTTAGGAATCATTAAGAACTAAAATCAAGTTAGAACTAGTTATTAGTGAGAATTTTTTCTTCTGTAATCTGTGAAGACTGGCATACACACCAATTTTTGAACTCAGAGTTCCAATGTACATGTGACAGACAGGGGAGCTTGGTCCTTCCTAGCTAATGCTGCTAATTCTCTCTTTTAAAGTTATTAAGATACAAGATAAGAAAACTCCTCATGTTGTTATCGCCTGGACTAAAGGCACCTATGGTTTCCAATGGTTTCAGATCAGGCTGAAAATCCTGAGACAGCACCATCTCTTGAGTTTGATGAGCTATGACTCTTTAGCACTTGTGGCAACATGCTGTCACTGTGCAAGTCACATCAACCATGAATTCCAGGCAGTCCTAGAAGCCAGCCTGCCTTTGGTGGCACAAGAGAAACTCCAATGGAGCATGTGGCTCTTGCTGTTATCAGTTTGCTCTTAACGCACAGGGAAAGAGAGGAAAAGAATCAGTCTCACTTCTGCCACTCCACCTAATATTCTCTGGCTTTTTTTTCCTTCTTTCTTTTTTTCATATTTAAATACTGTACACCTCATGTGATGGTTCTTTTTACTTATTAAAATTCTAAGATGTATTTCATTTTTCCACTCTGTAAAAGAAAAATATTAGGTGTCTTGGGCTACAGAGCTGATATTACTTGTGTAAATAGGTTCATGTTGGAAGACCACAGCTTGACATTCTGTGTGCTGCTATGTAGTTTTTAGGGATGTAACTTTGTTAGGTAAGCACAGCTAGACAGTTGTAATGAAAAAAGAATTATAACTGACAGAAATAGCAGCACTAATTTAGCCAAGAGCATTTACCCAGCAACTTACTAAAACATTGAAGGAACAAAAGCTCACAACTGTCCTTTAGCCACAAACTTCAAACAATCTGGAAAATGCTCTCCACCTCATAACACTCATTCATCTCAGTCTAAAGAGGCTACAGCACAACTGCTCCTCTGGGACAACCTGACCTTGAGCTCTGAGATCCTGCAGCCTGCCCCAGCACACTTAATTCCCTACTCCTCCTCTGGACAACTCCTGCTCAAGTAAGCAGCTAAACTGGAATTAAAAACAGTGCCATTTCTGTAACATTTTGTTATTTTCTATGCATTAAGAATCACTCTTTCACGTAGACAATGAATATCCAAATTTCTTCATACACTTCTAATTATTGCATAGTATTTGATGGATAGCTGAGTTCCATCCATCCTGACCTAAACCATAATCACAGGAAATGCACTTTGAAACTCAATAGTCTAACAGATATTCATATTCATTCTGATGAGCACGAAAATAAGCAAGACTGCTGCAGAAGGTTCAGAAACTCTATAAAGGGTTTCATTATGTATTTCAGCTATTGTAAAACATTAAATTAATAATTGCAAACCTTCTTCCTACATATGAGATCCTATTAAAATGAGCTCCAAAATTTGTCACTTCCTCTCCTACTGCTATTTGTTGGGCAGCTGACGTCAGAAATTCAGTTGCTCTGGAGTTACAGGTTTCTCTTCTTGCCACAAATGAAAGACTTACTGATACTGAATCAGCTTTAAAAAAAAGAGTTTCATTCAAAACAATGAGCAAACTTACATATATAAAACCAGCCAAAATATCTAATTTCCAAAAATTTTGTGATGAAGATTATAATAGTAATAATACATTTTCTGCTTTTGGACTTAGA